GGCTTTTCTTTTAGAGAAATGGGTTAATAGGTTGGGTTATGTTCAAATCAGCCCATTAAGGAGACTCTCGAAAGATGATTTACGCAAATATCTTTTTATTAAGATCATCATTTAGATTTGTCTCTATGTTTAAAATTAAAATTTAAAAACTGTCGATGCTAGTTATTACCCTTTGAAGTTACCCTCTAGGACAATTGTTAAACTCCGGTTTAATATTTACTCAGAATTTGTTTAGCATTACAAGACAAGATATTAAACGTCACTCTAAAACATGCAATAACTTAATTTTTAAAGGTAATCAGAAAAATTTAATTGAATAAAAGTAATCCTTAAATCGTGATTTCGAAAGATCAAGGAATTAAAATAAAATTATTTATTAAAGAGAAAATAAATAAAATTCACCCAACTTGGCGACAAACTTACTTTAGCATTTTAATTTTACGGGTAATTATTATCTCCCTAATCTCTTTTCAAGTGAATTAAAATACATCCTAATATTATAATACCAGTCTTACATTGGTAAGTACATTCCACACACGCCATGTCATTGATGCGTCAACGCCATATTAATGTCATGTCATTGCCATATTAAGCATATTTAAATTTTAATTTTTTTAATTCTTTTTTAATTTTTTTATTTACTCACAATTTTATAAAGTAAAAAATATCTCAAAAAATAAGAATTGATTCATGACTATAAGAAAAATAATCTCAAAAAAAAAAACAAATCAGTTAAAAGAGATTCAAAATCTCAAAATCATTCTCACAAAAACACTCAATTTTTAAGACATATTTAAAACAAATAAATAATAACAACTAAAAATTCAAGTTGAGATGAAAATTTTATATAGTTTCATTGCAAAGAGTTTTAAGTTCATTATATTTAAACCTTACCATAAAGACTAATTTTAATTTGAAGCCTGAACAAATTGATCATATTCTTTCCTTATTCATCACACTATTGGGATTTGTTGATAAAAAATAAAGGAAACTAGGGTGGAATGGGGCATCTTGAAGAAGGAGAAAAAGTATGAAAAGTTTTAGAAAAAAGAAAAGAAAAGTGTGAAGCACCGGATTTCGAAGAGAAATAAAGAGGGTGAGAGTGGGGTTTCATTTTTGGTGGGGGGGGGGGGGTCGAAGAAGAAGAAAAGGTAGTGCAAGTGGTGGTCGAGGGCGGAGGGATAGATTGGGTATGAGGAAGATGAAGGGATGAGAGGTGGGGGTGGGGTTGGTGGTACTAAAGGTTGGGGATGGTATGGTACAGTACGAAGAATATGAAGAAAAAAAGATCATTGGACAAAAAGAAAATAATTGAAGTCCACTTATTCTTTTTTAGTTTAATTTTTGAAATTTTGGCACTTTATTTTTTTGACTTGTCATATTAGCGATTTGAATGTATTTTAATTCATTTAAAAGAGACTAGAGAATAAATAATTATCCAAAGTAAATTTTACAATCTATTTCAGGGAGAATTTTAAGTATTTTCCTTTTATTAAACAACTATCATAAAAAGCCACTAAACATGGCATCATTTGTTCAAGAGTATAACTTTTTATAAATATTCGGATAAATAGTAATTGTAAGTGCTCCATACAAATTGCAATAGATCTAACATATTAAAGCTTTACTTGAATTCGCATAACTAACTTTACCACCAAAAGTAACTAATTAATGAAGTTTGTGAAACATTTCATACAGATTTATTTTTATCATAAATTTCGTGTATATATATTGTTAAATATTTTCAAATGTTAATTATTATAACTTATAATATTTTTTTTAAGTAGTTTATAAATATAGAAAATTTATTTCAAAAAAATTGAAGATTTTATGCGCAAATTTTCAGTCGAACTTAGGTACCATTTGGCTATAGATTTCTCAAGTAATATTGGGAAAAAAATTGGCAAATAGTATTTTTTTCATATAATTTCCCATTATTTAACAAATATTTTTGGCAAATATCCTAAATTTTCAAATACTAGTTTTTTCTAGTATTTGTGTCAAACCTCATTATTTTGCTTTTAAAAAAAATTTGAAATTTTACACTAAATTTTTATCTTTTACAAAAACACCCTCTATAGTAATTGTTTGTGTTGTATTACAAAATTTTTTTACGTGAACACCAAAATAGCGATGAAATATTCTGTGAATATGAAGGTGATAATATGGTTATTGACGAAAATGATGAACAATCGGTTCAGAGCAAAGTCATGTGTTTTGTTTACTTCACGATGTATCGAATGATGCTTGTTTTACTCACTCCAAATACTACATTGCATGACACTACTTGTTATTTGTTGTAACGAAGATCAAATTAATTTGTAATACAAACTTATGATTAGTTTTGATAGTTTATAAAATTTATGGGTATAAATCATATTATACAAACTTATGATTAGTTTTGATAGTTTTTAAAATTTATGGGTATAAATCATATTTTTCTAAACAAGTGAAATATATTTCTCAAATAGTCAAACACAAAATAAAATTTCACCCAAATAATATTTACCAAAAATATTTGTAATTCTATGATCATACCCTAGCTTTTAAACTGTTAAAATTTCAAAAATATGAAATGTGTCACGTGTACTACTCTAGCTCAATTAACTTCTCACAGAGTGCTAACAAATCACAATATTGCATCCATGATCAAGGTATGCATCACGCGCTTAGATGTTTCAAAGATTTTTTTTTTTTAATTTCGACATTAAAATTAATTTATTCAAACTCACACTAAGTAAGAATCATTTGAAAATAACGTTTTTTATCGATATTTTTTTTCATATTCAAAACTAAAAGTTAAATTTGTAATTAAAGAAGGAACAACTCATCAGTGCATACCACCAAGTATATTTTATATACTGGCAAATGCAGATCATAATGTTATTGAACAAATGTTATTTTTCTCATTCTGTTGAAATTTCTACTGTATCCCCTTGCCATTTGCTGTTTTTCAATGTGTTTTGTTCTTATAAGAGGATGATACCTAAAGCTATCAGTCATATATATTATATACTTTGATTTTATGGTATAATTCAATATATTTCTCGAGTGAGTGGAAATGTAAAAAGAAAAAAAAGTGATAATTTTTTTTACTTTACAAAATAACTTTCAATATTTTAATTAAGTACTAATCATTGTGCAGTTGGATTGACAAATTATATAATCCTCAACGGATACACCAGTTTGCTTGGAGACTAATTAGTCAACCCAATCAAATCTTTCCACCAACCAATACACCATTTAGTAAAATACTAATTCCCATTAATATAAAATAAAATATTTATTATGTTTCGATTATCACATTATATTTATTACAATGTTTTCTTAATAGTTGTTACGTTTTTTTTATTATTTTCTTTCTTTTTGTACTTGATTCTGCAGCACAAAAATCGTTAGTCTTTTAAAAATAATTTCTCTACATTCACAAAAGATAGTGAAAGATTTACATACAATACTCCACCCTAAATTCATACACCACTTGTGAAACTTCACCAGATACATCGGTGGTGATGTTATTAATACATAGAATAGGATTAAGGACATCTACTAATTCTATGTATGAAAAATAGAGTAACTAAACATAAAATGCGTATTCTAAAACCAACCGCCAGTCAATTATACATGAAAACAGCCACGCTCTTTCCTTTCTTTTCTTTGTTACGACAAATCATAACATAATTAGAGGATCATTAGGAGTTAGATAGAATATCGACAGATTTAAAATTTAAAATTTATAACTTATAAATAATTTTACGTTTTACAATGATCAATAAATTTATAACAATTAAATATATAATTTGGTGAATTTCTTATGCTCATGCACACATATTTTGAATAGAAAATTATTATGTTCACGTGAATTTACAATACTCAATGTATAAGATAGGCCACAACACACATTCTAAGTCATAGTTAGCTGTCATATAAAGGGCCACTTGCTCTTTTTCTAGATGGCCGTTGGACCAAAAAATGTCATGTTTGTTACTCCTATTTATACTATAGTATATAGTTTATATAAAGAAATATGTCTGTTCATCAATAATTGGGCAAGATGTAACGTAAACCCCACATATATCATAAGAAAAAATATTTAAAAAAATAGGCAGCTTAACTGAACTGGTCCAAGCTAAGCTAGCTCATTAATCTCCTTTTTGAAAAAATAAACTTAATTATAAAGTGAATTTTGTCTCAAGCATATTACCGTTTCGAAAGAACTACTTTCATGGCTACTGTAAAATAAAAGAAATTAATTCGATATTTTCAATATTCTTTTAGGGTTAATTAAAAATTACATTAGAAACTAGTAAATTACATACTTACCGGATCATTTTTCATGACTTGTTCGTTAGATAGTATCCAGCATGATAATATTAAAGTTAAAACTACATCTACTAAATGTTATTAGTAGATACTGATAATTTGGACAAATAACAAAAATTACATACTTTTAAGGTAAAATTATCATTTGTCTCTTAAAGGTTTATAATTACAGAAACCCTTCAAATTGATACAATAATGTAAGCACAGATACATTAATTTGATGCGCGAAATACATTAATCGTTAAGTAAAATACATTATATTTATACATGATATACTAATCTTATGTGTAAAACTAATAGAAGATAATAATAATAATAATAATAATAGAACTTAAAGGCGAGGAGATTTCTATCATTTTTCGACGTCCTCGTCATTTTATTTAGCATAAATATTCGTATAATTTTATCTGTAATATCTTACCTCAAAATTGAAATATCTACACGTCCATCTCATTGGAAAAAACAAATTCCATTAATTCCAAATATTTGTCCTGATTTGTGATTTCATTTGGACTTGTCTCGATATTGTTCATTTTTAGAATTTTTTTTAATACATATAATATTAAATAAATTGTAAAAATTTGATTAAATATCTATAGATCGTGGCTTCGAATATCTTTTATAGCATTGTATCGTGACCGAAAGAGACGGGAAGAACAAAGAAGAAGGCGAAACAATTTAGGACTAATTGAAGTAAAGAATAATAATTAATTAAGATTAAGATTACATTACAAAAGAATCTCTAAGTTAGTCTACTAAACTTTCTAATCATTACAAAAGCCTCAACAAATTAAATCTAACTATCAATATTTCTTCAGAATACCACTGTTATGTAGGCTAATTTTTGAATTATGGAAGAATCTAGATATGGCATCCGAAGCAGAGGTAGAAGAAAGCCAAAGCAGAGACGAGAAAAATGGCTTCAAATACAGAAACGATTTTGAAGAGGAAGCAATCAACGAACCAGTATCGCAATTTGTAAAGCCTTTTACTCTTCCATCTCAATCCAGAAGACAGATTTTTGAATCGCCACCGTAACGACGACTGCCGATGCGGCGGCGGCGGTGTCGGCTGAGTTAAGACATCGTGATGATCTCCGGCTACTTCAGAAGCAACAGTTCCGGCGAATGGCTTCTTACTTAGTCTGTTGAAGGAGAAGGAATAGCCAACAGCTTTCATTTTCATTTTTCTCTGTTGGAATGAAAAACAGAGTTTGTGCCTTTTTGTGGGTGAATGGGAGAAAACTGTATTGTTTGTATTTAAGAAGTGGGTAGGGGTATTTTAGGAAAGTGAAATTTTAATGGAAGTGGGAATAACTTTCTACAGTTCCGAGTGCGCGTGGGGTGCACGGATATGCCTTGCGGGATAAGTAGGAGAACCAGAACCAGAGTGGAAGAAATTGAATTACTAACATAATTTTGGACCCGTTATTTTAGTTTTTTGGGTTCGATATTTAAATAAAAATTCGATAATTAATAAAGTAATACTTTTTAAAATAAAATTTTTATATTTAATTAAAATTTAATATATTTAATTAAAAAAATAACTTCATCTATCACGCATCCTTCTAGATATAAATCTGGAATTATTTTAATTACTCATAAATTCAACGAAAAAATTAAAAATACGAAGACTATCCATTGTCTTAAAAATACGTTAATGCTTCCACGAATAAAATAAGATAGTCTTAAAAATAAGTTAATGCTTCCACGAATAAAATAATAATACACATAAGTCATAATGTGAATAATTTGCATACTTGATACTTGGTATTAGTTTTGTGTACTAATAATATTTTATTTGATATTAGTAATTAAAAAACTTTTAATATATGCATTAGCATAATTAAAAATATATTTTATTTTTAATACACTAAAACAAATAATATATAAGACATAGTCTATCAAAACTAATACAATTATAATTAATATATTTTATTTAATTTTATTCATATACACTCTACTAAATAAAGTCTGATTTGTTTCACATAAAAGTCATCAAGCCCACAACACAAAATTACACTCCGTATTTTACTCACCAACTCAATTACTGTGCTTAATTATAATAAATGAGAATAAGAATTGTTCTCGTCTTTATATAAAAAATAAATAAATACCTTAATCTTGTAAATGTTAAATAAATAAATACCTTAATCTTGTAAATGTTCTTGACAAATTTTATCGTAAGGTGTATAATCCGATAAATTAATTGTTAATTTACCATAGTCGATTAGATTAAAAAAAATCTGCAAAGTTTTTTTTTTCATACTCATACAAAAAATATGGTTGTAGATAATTTCCAATTGTTAAATTTATTAGGTACGTAAGCAAGTCCATGCAATTGAATTCATCTTGACTAATTCAAGAATTGTTGACAAATATTTCAGATAAATAGAATTATCATTTAATTAATTAAAACTTAATGCGCATAATCAGATCAAGGTGAGATATATATGGCGATTATATCATGAATATTCATGCTTAGCACGTTTGATTGACTCATTTAGTTAATTACTTGCTAATTATGATTCGAAGACTTGGTAATCTAATTAAAGAATAGCATATATAGACTTCTAAATGATTAATTAAGAAGTCTAATTTCTTGCTTGCTCACTTCACAAGCTAGCCAGCAAGCCTTTTCTCCTGATAATCAAAATTTATACCAATCTTTAATTAGATCTAAAAAAGGTAAGAAATATGTATTACTTCTTCTGTTTTAAAATAAGTGTCATTTTATCAATAAAATTTTATTTAGAAATAATTATCACCTTAGAATTCGACAAGAAAAAAAGTACTATTTTCCAACCACACTCTTATACTGCATCTTCATAATAGTGTTCAGTTTTCAAGAAATATTTACTAGATGAAGATGGTTTAATAAACTACATATTGAATTTATTGATTCTAAATTTCTAATAAACGTGAATTCTTCTAAGATAATACTTATTTTGAGGCGAAGGGATCAGAGTACTACTTAGATGATTGGGTGGGATAGAAAAATTTTCTTCACCATTAATTAAAGGTTATGAATTTGACCACTAAAAAAATTATATTAGGAAATTGTATGTACAGTTTAAAATTATTTAAGGACAATATAAATATCGAACATGGAATAAAAACATAATAAAAAATGTTAACATTGGACACGTAGTGTACCTTTATTCTCAAGTGCTAGAAGGAGTCCAGTTAAGATTGAAGAATCTCAAGGCTGTGCAGAATAACATTTTTCTAGTGACCTAGCAAATCATTTGCAATATTCAGTTCAGATTTATCATTTATGTTTATAAAAACAAAAGTATATTTTTATAAAAAAATAAATTTAAAGATGTAAATGATATAAAGTTTAGGTTTTTGGAATATATTTTTTATCTTTTAACCGACTTTACTTAGAATATTTCCATAGAAAATGGAAGGCTTTTAATACCGTCTACTTAGTGATCATGATCTCCATTGTAACAATATAATAAGTAAAATGTTTTATTTCGAACAGATTAAAATTTTAAATTAAATAAATATCATACTTTATAATATTATGAATAGATAAATACGAAGATCAGAAGATTAGAAAAAAAAACACTCCATCAAAAATGATATTTATTAATGATAATTAATTTTTAATTATCGTTAAATATTTATTTTTAGCTGTAATTAATATTTTTTTTTATATATTTCTAATGTCTTGAGCTATATTAATTTTAATGAAACTTAATTAATATCAGTAAATATTTTAATATTTTTAATTAATATTATATGCTAAAAATAGTTTTTATTATAGCATGTTTAAGGATGAAACACATCTCCTGTTTGACCAAATTTTTGGGTTGGCTGCTTATTTTTTTTCCCTCTAGCTAAGTTTTTAGTTTTTAGTAAAAAAAGTTGTTCAAACCCCCAAAAAAAAGTAGCTTATCACCCCAAAAAATATTTTTTTAAAAAAATATTTTTGAGAAAACTACACTTACTAGCATTTCTTTTTTTTTTTTCAAATACTAATTGCGGCTTAAAAATGTTTTAAATAATTTTTTAATCTCTCGACCTTTTAATCTAATTTACTTCAATTTAAATTAATCATGTTATAAAATTGACTTGGTAAGCCTGTCTTAGACATTTCAAATTTAAACTATTTCAAAAAATTAAGTTTAAAAATACATCGTCTTAACATAGAATGAATCCTTAATCATGCGAAGTCTTAATTCTATTTTTAAAAACTTTTTGCTATTTCTAAAATATTTTGATAATTTGTATAACGATGACTTAATTGAAAAAAATTAAAAAATATAATCAATAAGAGATTATCTAAAATATAAATGTTTGTGGTGTTATGTAATTTATATATGGCTTTTCGATCTAATAAATTATTACAAAAAATCTTATAATGACAATTGTACGAGCATTGTGTGTTTTTAGTTTTAAGGAGCATTATATGGTAATCTATCTTTCACTAGAAATTTATTCATTAATCATCCAGATCAAACTTCAACAATTTCAGAGACCTCCCTCTACTATATTTGCTCTATTATATTTTTCTTTTTTCTGTGGTTTATGATATTATGTATACTTTTCTTATTTTTATTTTCTTGTAACCTTTTATTAAATCAATTTAATAAATACAAATTACTTAAAATTTGACATTTTTATCCTTCTATATATTAATTTCTTCATTTTAACAAATGTTATACAAAAAAATAACTCATTTAACAAATATTTTATAAACTAAAATGACCTTACATGCATATTTACCTACTCACAAATCAAAATAATATTTTAATACGTTTTGCATATAATTATAAAATTTAATTAATTTTTTTAAGGTCATGTTAGGTCCAAATTACGGAAAAAAAACATATGAAATACTCCATCATAATTAATTTATAATTTTGCTTACAAATTAACAAAGAAAAACATTTAGAAGAACAATAACGGATGTGGTTTGTTTTCAACAGTAACACTTGTGAAATAGAATTTGGTGATGAGCGAGAATATGGTCAAGTCCCATCTAATTTCTATATTGTTGCTACAATAAAACGACTTTTCAGCTAATATATTGTTTTAATATAGATATAAAACAAATAGGAGTATATACGTTCCATGAAATAGTTGTTCGAATGAGGTAAGGAAAAGGAAAAGAAAACCTATGTAAACTAGAAATCAGAAACATGACTTGTATAAAAGCAACAAATGAGTAGAAATTAAATATTGTGATTTGTGAGTAAGTAGTATTAGTGATCATATACAACTCTTGCTCTAATTATTGATATATGAGATGGCATCCATGTGGTCAGAGGTTCCAGAGGATCTGTTGAGGTTAATAGCTAATCGGCTTGATACATTGACTGATCAAGTAAGGTTTGCATGTGTTTGTACTTCATGGAAGTCTATATTGCTTAGTATTCGTCCCTCACATTCGTGGTGTCTACTATACCGTTTTGAGGAGGAGCCAAGTGAATTAGGTGAAAAGTTTCTTTTTTTACCTGAAAGAAAGATTCACCACCTTGAGTTTATCCCAGAGGTCCTTGGCAGGAGCAAGTTTCGAGGATGTTCCTTCAGTTGGTTAGTTTGTACTGATGATTACTCTCCTAAAATCTCTCTATATAACCCATTCACCAAGGTTCTAATCGCCCTTCCACCGCGGTACAACTTTCCTGATGTGATAAGATACTGTCCCCCGGAAAGGTCTCATCCAGTATATGAGATTGAAATCTATGATGTCGATGATGACGACACAGAAATTGACTTTGTAGCCACAAGTTCTGTGCACATACACTTGATACACAAATTTGTCCTATCTTCATCTCCTAGTAAACCTAATTGTATGGTTGTTGCCATCTATGGTACTATGGATTATAATTTGGCCTACTGCAAAATTGGAGATGAAAAGTGGACATCCATTGCCAAAGGTAGGATGAGATATGATGATATTATTTTTCGTGACAAAAACTTATTGTATGCTGTAACAATCACAAGTCATGTGCACGTCTTTGATTTGTCGTCTAATTCTCCAAAATTGGTCGATACTATACAACCACCACCTCCTCAACCATTACCACCACCACCACCAGAAGAACTAGGGCAACCAGAACCGGGAAGACGAAGCTACTTGGTCAACACTTCAATTGGACTGCTCCTGGTTCAACGACATTGGCTCTGGACAGGGTCTCTATATGAAGGAAATCAGTGTGAAAAAACAAAAATTTTCAACTTATACATGTATGAGCCTAGCAGTCGAAGTTGGCGTAGGGTGGAAAACATGGATGAAAATGTGCTGTTTTTGGGACTAAATACAGGAGTTTCAATACCTTCTTCTCGTGTTGGTGGATATAAAGGGAATCATATTTATTTTACAGATACTTTATTCGTTTTCAGTTTGAGAACTGCTCGACATGGCCCATATGAAATTGGTGTTTATGATTTGGATAGTAAAAGTGCACAGTGCTTGCAACGCTATGATACTAAAAAATACTGGATACGGCCAACACCAATTTGGTACATACACAGCCCTGAAGATTTCTTTGAGCGCGATTTGTGAAAAACAATTAATTACTCTGTTTCTTTATGTCTTTAGCATTACTCTGTTTCTTTATGTCTTTAGTATTACTCTGTTTATGTATAGTTTTTTTTTCTTAATGCGTAGAAACCAATTTGTGTTCAAATATTTCTCGCACACCTAGTAACACCTCTCATCGATGCTAACACAAATTGATTTCTGCATATTAAGAAAAATAACTATACATAAACAGAGTAATGCTAAAGACATAAAGAAACAGAGTAATTAATTGTTTTTAATCTTTAGCATTACTCTGTTTATGTATATTTATTTTTCTTAATGCGCAGAAACCAATTTCTGTTCAAATATTTCTGACACACCCAGTAACACAATATATTAGCAAGAACTTCAACCATAAAATCAAATAGAAAACCACCATCACCAAAATTCATAGTTGATCATAGTAGCCTCGTACTTGGTCTTGAGTTGGCCTGACTTTCTTAAACACCGACATTAGGGCCTAAAGCCAAATTATAGAGAGGGGCTCCAAAAAAAAAATTCCGCATACTTTTATTTAAAACATACTTTTCTAACTTTTATATATTTGAATTCATTAATTATTGTTTTATAACCTATTTGTTTAAGTAATTCTCTTTCAATTGATAATATAACTAATCTATTCAATCTCTCTTTGAGACATTGTTCATCTTAAAATAAAATTTTATCAATTTTAATTTTGAAAAACTTCTTTCGACTGAGTCAACGATTATAAATTTTTTTTAGCATTATTCTATAAGGAATGCATGCATTAGGAAAAGAATAAGGTCTTTTTAATTGATTGAGTACTTCCATTAGATCATTATTTCTATTTATATTGAAAGTGTGAGTTTCATACCTAAACTATCATTTTTTAGTTTGAGAAACAGACTTCAGTGGTGTGTGTAGTGTACTCTCTCTTTTATATAAAAAAAACTTTGACACATGAAATTTCACATAAATAATAGTTAAATAATAAAAAATTAATATTAATTGAAAATTAAAGATTATTATCCATAAAAAAATTAAATTATTTTTTTATCTCACTGCACCACCTCCTCCATGTACCACCCCTCCTCCCGCGACAACGTCATCCTTTAAAAAAAAATCATCTATAAAATATTTGTAAAAATTTCACATTTCATTCTCTCCCTCTTCCCCGATAGAATTGATATTATTTTATTTAAAAAAATCTACCCCATCCTATTTAATTTTTCGCTCCTAAACCTATGCTCGAAATTTCTCAAATACACTTATACTATACTAAGGTCCGATTACCACTCGGAACTTATTTTATTAATAATTTTCTACTCCTTTTTGACCTACGTGACACTATCTTGTGGCTCAACGCTGGTTGACTTTTTTTTTTCAAGCTAGTGCCACGTAGGCCGAAAAGGGGTAGAAAATTATTTATAAAATAAGTTCAGGGTGGTAATAGGACCTTAGTATAAGTGTGTCTCTAGGATTTCGGATATAGATTGAGGGGGTACTTGTGCATTTTTTTTATTTATTTTTTTTATATATATTTTTCTTATTTTGTGTTAGATATGCACATACATATATTTTTAGGGAAAAAAATTCTACTAGTGTACCGAATATAACATAAATAACTAAAATATATAAAAAGTCTTGTGGCGGTAAGTAAAAAATATTTTCGATATGTATATATAAATACTGAAAAAAAATTGAAAGCAGAGAATTAAGTGGGATAGATTAGAATTATATTTTTAAGAAAATAAAATAATATCTAAATAAATATTTGATGAGGGGGAAGGAGATGAAGTAAAAAATGAAAAACTTTTATAAAAGAAATTTAAGCAAAATAAAAATCTTTAAAAAATGGTATGAGGTAAGAAAATTAATTTTTTTAATAATAATTTTTTAATTTTCAATTTTAGTTAATACTGCGAAGCTTATCACCTTCATTGCTTCGCGGTTTGAAGCAGGTGAGATCCACATTAACGCATTTACAAATTCTATTAGGTAATTCAATCTGTTGGATGATCCGCTGTTGCAAAGTATTGCATTTTCTATTTTCCGTTGATATTCAAATTGCATTTAAAATGGCAAAAGTTATTGTAATTTCTGATCCATGTTCTCTTCTCCAACAGTCGATGTTACAGCTCGCAAATTTCTGCGCGAGTTCGTCAACGCGAGTAGTAGTACAAGCAGTTTGAAATCGAAATCTCTGCTCGATCGCATAGGGCTGTGCTATGAATTCGAAAATCGAATCTCACGCACTGATGAAGTTAATATAGTATCTCTTCTCTATTTCTTATTCGAATTGGTATATTTTATATCTGTTTATGCATTTTTAGTCTGAAATGCGAAGTACAACTATATTTATCTGATAAACTTGTAAAATTGTTCATGTAAACTGATAAATGGTTAACGTAGCTTAAAGTACACGAGGAAACTTCAATCTCTGCGATTTTCATCATGCTGTGAACAATTTGCCTGATTTCAACAATTCTAGAGCTCTATGTTGTAGCGGTAACTCTTGTGTGCTTTTTATAGGTTAATTGGATCTATGATGTAAATGCATTCAAGTTTCTGTGCTGCTACATGCACACACTTAATTCGATTTGATGGATCTTGTTATAATTAGTGTGGGCACCGTTTGTCGCTTGCAGATTTGAAACTTTGCAGTATCCTCAATGAAAATTACTTTTGTACTCATGGGGAGGTCATAGTGAAGATACTACGAAAAAAGTTCCTGCATATTTGGAACCTTGGCCTCTGCTACCAAAAATCAGGCTCTCATGGTGAGGACATCTACTCTCTGCATTCCTATCATTATCAACTCTACTTTTGTTCTTGGTATTTGGAGTGACGATTAGGTGTCTTAATTGTTCAGTTTAACTACTAGATTTACAAGTATAATGAACAAATGTGATGTTTCGCCTGTGGCCAGAAAATGAATCTTTTAAGCTGAAAGCTTTTTGTTGAGAGAACTTGTGGTTTTGCTGACAGGATGCAGCAGATAACTGTAGTCAGTTGAGTTTGTCTTCTTGGAGAAAAATTAAAGTCATCTTGCTGATATTCCTGAAAGTGTCATCAAATTCTTGTTGGAAAAACAATTCCTGAAGCAGATTGGTGATCTCGAGAACTGTTCGTTGCAAAACTACGTTCCAGGTTATGTATACTCCTTAATCCTTCCCTGATAGGGATCTTTAAGATGTATCTTTCAAGACCTATTTGTTCAATGTGATTTTCATTTTATGATTTTGTTCATATTGATCTTGTTGAGGTGTAAATATAACAAATTATCTAATTGAGTAAGGGCTATCTTTGTTGGTTCTATATTACAGATTCTTAGAATCGAATCTGTTACCTAAGTTACCATACAGATTAATTTGTTCTCAAACGCTTTCAGTGGGTAGGAAGTGAACTTCCAAAAAGACTTCAGAAATGCCAATTCTATTCTTCCGAGTTGTAGGTTATAACATCTACAATTATAAGACACAAAGTGAGTCTCTGAAAAGCTTTCCTTTTTCATGTCTGCTTCTTCTCATCATTTCTTTTGTCTTTGGATCCTTGTTAATGAAGTGCTAAAGCAGCTGAAACTTAGTACTTTCGTGAGTATTCAAAGAGGTTAAAGTTGCCCTTGATGGATTATAAAGGTCAAATATCCTCCACTGATTTCATAAAATTTGAGTTAAATTGGGTACCAATCTTTTAAAAGTTTTCATCACTGGGTAGAAGAAGCAAATAACGTATATATACGTTGTATCACTCCAAAATGAGGCAACTTTCTTACAAGTAGCCATAACACAAAGTATCGAATTTAAATTATAACAACCACAATGTCAACCTCCAAACAAGCTCAACTCCTTGTGCATATAAACATTTGACTTGCTAAAATCAAATTTTCTATCTTGCACATAAATTTGGCTTGTGTTCTAAAATACAGAATCGAATAGCACAACAATTTTTTCTTGTTTCGTCACCTTGTTAAGGCGTGCAGTAAAATTCTCTTACTAATAATACCAAATAGATTGAAAAAGTGTACTAAGCAAAAATGTCAATAGTACGTAACAATGAAAAATCACATAATTTATAATCCAACACAAGACATTATAGTATACATTCTGTCAAAACCCACAGGTCTCTGTTGAGTCCCCTGTTCTGTCACAAAAGACAAATACATGCTCTGATTTTGGCAACCCTAAAACCCTTCTTCTTTGTCAAGATTGTTACTGTGATTTCGCAAAAAACCCTTTTTCCTGCTTCTGAGATGCCTTCTAAAGGCAAAGGAAATGGGAAGAAGAAAGGTAAAGGTAAAGGAAAAGGAGCTTCAAAAGAAACAAAATGCAGAGCTGCAGCAGAACCAGAACCAACTTCTCACTTCTATTTCCCAAGAGAAATCATCTCTAACATCCTTTCCTGTCTCCCTGTCAAAACAGGTGCGTAAGCAAGCAATGGCGAAATCTCATTTCTAAGCCCAACTTCATTTCCTCCCATTTCCGTCACTCTTCTTCTTTGCAGCACTCCGGTTCATCTATTCTTATAGGCAAGAGTCTAATCATCGTTTAGTCTTGTTGGGTTTTAGCAAGTGTGAATGGGAAAAGAAAAGAGAATGTGAAAAGTGAGGAACTACTTTGGGGAAAATGAAAAGTCATTTTTTGCAAATGAAAAGTCATTTCTCTCATATCGGCAAAAGAAATGGAAATTGTTGTCCTTATAGAAGGAAACACTTCCATTACTTCTTAAAAGAGATAAGAAGAAGATGCCCCTCGCGCCGTCATTGCTCGGCTCGGATTTGGATTTGGATTTGACAAATGATTGATTGATAAATTTTTTGGATAAAATTTATTTAATCAGTTTTTGTTGAATCAAATAAATCCTGTTAATATTATCTCTTATAAATTTGCGGATAACGGTAACATTCCGAAAAGTTGTTATTTTTCCGAAAAGTCGTTACTTTCCCAAAAGTAGTTATTTTTCCTAACAGACACATTTTTCGAAAAGTTGTTATTTTTTCCAAAAGACACAACTTTCTGGATAAAATGGGTCTGAACAGATTTTACTGAACAGACATGTTCCTTGCTGAAAATGGCTATAAAAGGAAGTCAATTTTTGATTTTTAAGAACACTGAAAATTTTTCTTTCTCTGCATATTTTTTCTCTCAAAATAAAATCAAAGTGTCGATCGATTGAGTCTGTGTGACTTGTTCCTGTTCTTGTTGGGTATGTAGCAAGAATTGATGGGAAATAGAGGAAAAGAGAGGAATTTGAAAAGTTTAGAACTTGAAAGGTTGGGAACTTGAAAAGTCCTCTAATGCTTTAATAAAAAAGGCAATAGTCCCTCATCGGTAATGGAAATGAAAATAGGAGAGTTTAAATAAATAAACACTCCTATTAATTATTAAAAGGGTTGGAAATAGGGACCCCTCGCACCGTCGTCGCTCGCTTCGGCTTTGGCTTTGGCAAATCGATCGAGAGATAATTTTTTGGACAAATTTATTTTAATTATTTATTTGATTAATTAAATGGCCAAAAATTATTTTCAATTAATCAGTTGATAACAAAAATTAACCAACCGAAATGTTTTCAACTTTTTAGTTAACCCGACCCGACTCAGGTCCGCACGCGTGACCCGTTTTAAATTCCGTTATATTTAAAAATTTCCGCCACTGTTCTGAAAGGTTGCAACTTTCAGGAACAGTCAATACCATTTGAAAGTTTGCAACCTTTCATTAATGGTTGTGTCAATTCTGAAAGGGTTGCAACCTTTCAGAATATATTATTCTTGCCTATAAATACCATTCAGTTTTTAGAATATTTACTAACGAATTTTCTGATCTTCCTACTTCTTAAAAAACACATTTTTCTTCGTGTACTTTCCTGCTGTGGATTGATTCGCTGACAGTAGAGTTTTTGGTATCTATACTCTACTGATTAAGATCATTTTACCCTGGGAGGTTATATTCCAAATCAAACCTCGGATACTAGAGGGGAATAATTTCCTTAAGGGGACACTGTAAATTCAGTGGACTTGATTTTCTTCCTAAATTATCAAAAAGAGTATTCAAGATTCTGGTAAGTTTTACAGATTAAATTATTTTTACAAATAAATTTCTGTTCATCTTATTTACTGGTTCTAAAAATCTCAGTTACTTCGTGTTTCTGAATGATTTATCACAACCAGTAATTTCTGATTTTCTTAACACAGATTGGCAACAGTTCTTCAGTTCGTCGAAGTTAAAGAAGTTTGAGGTACCGCTATTTCTTTAATAGGTTTAATCCGTTTTATCTTGGGAGAAATTAATCCATAACCTTGGGTACAGTGAGGGGATTAAATTTCTTAAGGACACACAGTAATTTCTGTGGACTCGGATTAATTCTTGTATTTTTAATTTTTTCTGCTTCATCTTGTTTCTGTTTCTGTTCATTAACTTCATAAATACAAGTTATTGTAAGAATAACAAGTCTCACTATACAACCCGCCAGAATCAGTTGTCCATGTGGACAGCCCGTTCCCCTGTTTCTTCCCCAATATGTACATTGTGGGTCCTTGCCATGGCTTTATCTGCCTTTTTAGTCCACCATGGGTTGAACTGATTACCCTTTGGAATCCGGCGATGAGGAAGTATAAGATGGTGGAGCTCACTGATAGCTTGCCTCGTCCGGAACTGCACTTTTTGGCGTCTATTGGAATGGGTTTTGATTACCAACATAACGAATTATTGATCTTGAGAATCTTTTGTGTGGGCATAATGTTTGCAGTCCCGAACCACATTTGAGGTTTATTCGAGTGAGAGTGGGAAATGGAAGAAGCTGAAAAATGAGATGTTTTTTCATATTGTTGAGTTAACTTGCAATGTGATTGTTAAAAGATGGCGTATTGGTTGGTTTGTATGCCTGGTAAGTTCGGATCACGTGCTGTGTTAGTGCGATTTGATGTGGGGAAACTAGTGTTTGAGAAGTTACCTTCGATAGGAAGGCGTAAGAAGCATCAATATCTTGTGGAATTGCAGGGTTCTCTTTGTATGTAAGACTGGGATCATAAAGATGATTGTCATATGGATGGATGTTTGGGTAATGGATGATGTTGATGGTTGGAGTAAGAAATACAGCGTTGGACCATTAATCGGATTTTTTGACCGAATCTTGGGTTGTTTGAGGAATGGTGACATTGTAGCTAAGAATGAAATGGAGTGATATCCTTGTGTGAACCCATATCTAATTCAGTCAAGGAAAATTTCAGCATTGATAATAGCAATGATGAATCATATGTGATTGTTGATTATACAGAGAGCCTATTTCTGCTAGGAGGGATGCTACCTGTTAAGAAGCAAGCTGCTCAAGATAAATTGGCGCGCAAAAGAGTCACAAGGTTTGATATCAATTTATCATTATACTCCAGTTTATGTGACTACATATACATATATATACTTGCTACGTGTAGGTTCTCAGCTCCCACTTTTAGATGTTGTCATTGCTTCAGAAGTTAACATGTGTATCCTAGGTATAATACTTACTATAATACTTCCATAATAGCATTAGTGCAAAGGTCCCCAGCAAATGTACTTGTGGTTGTAACAAACTTATCTGTGAACTAGTCGAGATACATACTGGCTTAGCCAATAGCACTATTTAAGAAAACATTGGTCCAATTCTATTGATCTTGTGGAAGAGTCTTTGAGATTTAATAAAAAGGATGAACACATACTCAGAACTGTATTCCCCTAGTCTTGGCGCTTTTAAGCTGAACTTTGAATCAATGATGATACATGTGGAATAATAACAGAAGAATAGATGGAACTTTTGACATATATGGACATTTGTTCATTTCAATTATTTCTTTTGATCATTTGTCATTCATGAAAACAGAAGGTAATGAAACTGAATCAAACACAAAAAAGTATAAATCGTTACAAACGATATGAAAACTACACAATCAAAGATTGTCACTACAACCAAATCAAAATTGCACAAAAAGTATAATCTGTGACAAACAATATCAAATAGTCCTTACAAACTCTTAGAAGGTCACAACAGAACTCTGTCAAAATCCAAATGTGAGGTAATTCTGTTGATTAGTTAACATAATCCCTGTCATTTAACAAAAACAAAATAAGTTTAGTTCAATTTTTTCAACGAATTGAAAATCACATGTAATTTTAGTAAATTATTATTACCTTATGTCAGCATGGCTCCACCTCTTCTCCTCAACAGTAGACATTCCCTCTACAATTAAAGTACTCCTTTGTATTTCTAAGATTTCAAAACAGCCATTCATTCCTAGTTCTCTTCGTCTGTCTCCAATCTGAATTTTGCATTGGGCTAACCCCATATGAACACCTCTCGAAACAATTAGTAGAATTCTATCGTCGTATTCGACGATGATATGCCCTTTCACAGACATCCCTAATATACGGTCTATTTCTAAGGGGGGTGAGACTGTCCATAACATGATCCATTGTTCATTGTGATCGAAACCACATACTTCAATTTTTGATGTTGGTTTGTCATCCCACACAAGCATTCCTAGCATGTGATGGCTGTACAAATTGACGAGCATCTTATGGTAATTTTTACCACGATCTTCTTTGAAGATGATTGGATAGGATGTCATTTTGAAGGTACCACCGTCAAATTTCAGCACAATCTCCCTTTCCCTATTCTTCTCATGCTGAATCCCTATCCAGTAGGGCTGTCCACTATAAATGATACCACAAGAATCCTGGTTCTCTAACTCAAACTGAAGATCAACCTTTTTACTGATCCATTTAGAATGTAGGCTGTTGGTAGGAAGTATTTCAACTTTTTTATGACTTGAGAGAATAATCCTAACTATAACAATGTTAGTTCCTGTATGTGCCATGGCTACTGAAGCCAAGTGTTTATGTCTTTTGGAATTTGTACTTAACTGTACAAACTTAAAACTGCTTTCAAAAGGATTCCAAAGCGTGATAACGTCGCCCCAATTGGGGCGACAAAGGCATACAATGCCATCCAATGAACCGACTATCTTCATTTCATAGAGATAGCTTGGAAACGGATTCGTAAGAGGTAAAACAAGTTCCCTGGAACTGTCCAGCAAGGAAAATACAGGATGAATCACATCCTTTTTTTGAATGAGTGTGTAGACATTATAATCTTTAACAGAATCAATCACATCTTTCCAGAAGAAACTTACGCAACGAAATCTGCATTGGCTTTTATATGGAAGCTTGCGGATGATTTCTCTTGTTACGTCATTAGGCACTTCCATGTTTGATTTCTTCTTCATGAAAAACTGGAAGGGTTGAATTTGATTTCTTGGTGAAAGGATGAAGGTAGAGTTTAGAATGTGAGTCTTGAAACAGAATGTTATGATAAGAGAGATTATATAGGTGAAAGGAATTTAGAAAGTGAGCTGTTGGAGCAGTTCAGACTGATTTGAATTAAAGATACGTTGAGAAGAAGTTTTAACAAATACTTATACTAAATAAAATATTAATAAAATTAAATTATATATTTTTACAATATAAAAATTATATAGGGTTAGGGTTAGGTAAATTAAATATTTGTAGGCGGTGGATGGTTTCGTAAAAGATAAAGAAAAGTAGAGAGAAGAACCTGACTGAGTAGAGAGAAGGGACTTGAGGCTTTAATGGAAGTGAATGTGGGTCTTCCTTCTGTCGATGCCGTTGTTGCAGTTCTTGATTTTGCATACACTCTTCTTTCTCCCCTGTTCTTGATTATTCCAAATTCTTTTAAAAATTCTATCTTGATACTTGGATTTTTGGTGTTGGGTGTTGCAGTTCTTGATTTTGCTCAGTAGTCTTCTTTCTCCCCTGTTTCCAAAAAGTGTTGTTATATACGTGAATTTCTGTTAAAAATTCTATCTTTGATTCTTGAATGTGTTCTTTTCTTGTTCCCGATATGGGATTTTAGGAATGCATTATATTATTATTATTATATGTGGATGTAGAAGATGTAGCTTCTCGTTTGGTAGAAATAAGGGCACGAAGAGTATAAGCTAATTTTGGACATGGAACTTTGATAAACCACCTGTGCACGTGTATACAGTTATTTAAATACCTTACCTTTATCTTCTTTTATTTTTTACTTTCTGTGCATTTCATAAGGATCTTACTGTCCGGCAAGTAATAGTATGAATCGGTCATTAACTTTATTCTCCTGCAGGTTATTTCCTTTATTTTTTGTTGACAGTTGTTGCTGCATGTAAGGGTTGGATTTTCTGGCGCACTCCTGTGGCTTTGTTGTAATGGGTAGGTATGTGCAAACCCACCCTGTTCTTTTTCAACTGAGGCTATTTTAACTAGGACTAATGAAGAACTATTTTGCAGCTTTCACCAGAATTCTTTTCCTTGCTGCATTTCTTCTTCTCCTTTCTTTCTGGTAAGTTCGCCTTCTGTTTTCTGTATCCTTGAACGTGTGAAAGTTATTGCTCTGAATTTAACTATTTGCAAACTAATTAATGAGGGGAACTTTCAGTATGGTGAACTTCCCATTTTTTCTCCAGAGTCATCTTCATTCCAGAAAATAGCAGTACCTGTTAATTTAATCAGTAAGCTGCCAAAAATCAGCAGTTTGCAAGACACTGCTACTGAGCTTTAGAATGTGGTTGACCAAATAATGATCCTCTTTTGGTGAATAGCAGTTATTTGCTAAGTTGCGCAGACTCTTCACTTCCAATGCCCCACCCGTGTCGGATTTCCCAAAAATCCACTACTTTTGGAGAAACCGACATGTACCCGTTGTCATTTTTGAAGTGTCTTAGCAACATAAGTTATTTGATCCTAGTGCTATTCAAAGACTATAGATTCTTCTGCTCTACACCAAAAGTTGTCACTTGTCATGTATCTCTTTTCTTTTAATATCCGATCAGTAGTGCACCATTCAGTACACTCCTTTATACCTTTGTGGGGTAGAGAAGCTGTTTTTAATAGACTCTCGGCTAAAAAAATGGGAAAAACAGTTTTTACAGAACAGGTTTGAAAAATACAAGAGCAAAAAGATCTACAATGGAACTATCAAAGAAAAGAAAAATATTGACAACAAAATATAAAAGATAAGCGAAGTAAAAGAAACAACAGCAGAGCTAAATTTTAAAGAAAAAGGTAATGATACAACAAGAATTATAGTACTGATAAGTAGAAGAAGGAGAAAATAAGGAACTTCTCCACTTGAATACCAGTTATTTTATTTTCAGTGGAATATATACCCGTGACATGCGCTTAACCCACATATCACGACATCACACACTTTGTGCTAACCTATAAGAACAATGTGTTTTTGTTCTATAATTTAGTATGTGGTGATAAACTATATTAAAATAAACACATCTGATTATCACTTGTTATTAAATTATTTCTGTTTAACTTGTGCTTATGAATTATAGCAAATTTTAGAGTGTGTTTTTTTTATTAAAATATTGTTTTCTAAAATTCTTTCAAAAAATCTGTGCGGCATATGTCTGCTTTGTGGCAAAATCCCTATTCAATTTGTGAATGGCTTTCATGGTTTGTTTGTTGTAGAAGAACATCTACGTAATCCTCATTGTGTATAACTGTTTGAGCTATTATATTCTGTTCCTGCCTGTCAAATTCAATAAAATTGTTAAATGTAGGAGTATTAATTTGCGTACCTATTTGGACTGGTTGTTGTACATCTTGTATAATATTTTGTTGCAGATTTTTAGGCACACGGTAACTCACTGTATTTCTCTTTTTCCATTTCGGTTCTTTAGTCATGCACTTGCTTTTTTGACCAGGTTACCCTGTTAGTTTTTCTGTTAATGTTGGTAGCTGCTGTACTAATATGGATTGGGAGGGGAAGGAACCCTATTGATTCATCTGTTCTGGCTCGGGTATGGACTAAGGCTCTTTGATTACCAATATCTATTTATTTGTTGTTCTTGCATATTCTGTAACCTATCTGATTTAGCAGTTGTTGGTACTTCGCATAGATTACTTTCAGCCTCACATATTCATTTTTAGCTGCAACCAGATTTTATAACACAATCTATTTGATTGTTGTTTTCACATATTCTTTCTTCAATCCATTTGATTTAGGAGTTGTTTGTTCTCTTTATAGATTACTTTGAGCCTCACATTCATTTTTAGCTGCAGTTAGATTTTAATGCACAAACAAGTATATACCTTCGACTTGGAGCCCTAACTGTTTCTTAGTATTTCCTGAGAGGAGCATCTCGTTGAAAGAGAGGGTGTGTTCCCCTGTGAGTAAGGGTAGTTCTTGTAAAATATTTTTCATGCTTAAATGAATACGTATGGTATTTTTAATTTGCTTACAATACTGGTTTTTGGTGTTTAAATTATTGTTGGGAAAATATAAATTTAGACTGTTTCATGGTGGTTTTTTTCTTTGCCACCTCTCCCCACCTTCCTCTTGATAATTGATGAAGTGCAGTTACATGATCCAGATTTATGTAGATCTTTTTGCCTTAGCAGTTCTTTTGCTGGGAGTGTGGCATTTGCATGTTATGGTTAGTATGTTATACACTGGTATTTTTTATACCGCCTCCTCATCAATGTTCACACGTCACAGAGAATTGTTGTCCTGCCATTTTCAGTAATATAATCTTATCTATTGCTACTATGCACCATAAATCTTTACATGGGCACTTCAGTACTTGTGTAATAACTAACGTCTTTTGATCCACCATTTCTTCACAGAATCAGCTGATATAAAAGATTGAGTTATTTTATTTAACAAGGATAGACTTACAAATGTTCAAGAGTTCTCTCTCCCTCTATGTGTGTGTGTGTCCCCAGAGGTGGGTCAGGGGTGTGGAGAAGTGATTTCAAGGAATAGTTTAAACAATAAGATATTCATGGTTGATAGTTTTAGGCGGTGAAACTGCTGCCTCCCCAGAAAGACCAATATTTCATCAGTAATATCGCAGTCGAATGAATTGATTGTTCAACCAATTATCCATTTCTCGTCGAGCTGTGCAAAATTCTAAGTAACAGTTGTCGTAAAGAATTTGCTGTTTAAACTAGGTCTTTTGTGTTCTAATTATTTTATGTGAAGGTTTCCTATTTCAAAATCTATCTTTCTGACCATAATATCTCTGCTATGCAGGACTGGTATTGTTCTTGAAAATGAGCAAAGTGAGATCTGAAAGGGCTTCATCAGAAATGTGGAAGGTACTAACTCATCTTTCCTCGGTGCATCTCTAGCATTTTCTGTATGTCGATTGGAATTGTTATTTGCAGACTGCAGAAAACTTCTGTGGCATGTCATATCATGTCATACTGAGATCTTTTACAATTCTAGTCTTAAGAATTGAGCTTGAATAAAGTGCACTTTTCTTTCTCTTCTTTTCTTCCTTGTTAAAATTCAGCTCTCATGACACAGATTGTGATAGATTATTTTATTGTGAAGTTTGATTTTTTATTATATGTTTGTCCAATGAAGGTTGCAGGCTTGGCAGTTGTTTCTGTTCTATGTTTCACTTTAAGTGAGCTGTCGCCTTATTCACAGATATACCCGTATGTCTTCTGCTGGTCTCATGAGATGTCTTTTGTTTTGACTGCATAAGTTTCTAAGAGATTATGCTTTTAATGCAGCTTCTTTTCAACTGGCGTGGACAGAAGATAAATGGTGTTTGTACATCTCTTCTCATGGTTTTATATTATTTTATAGGTACCCTTTAAAACTTGTGTTCCTTACTGAAAGCTTGATTTTAAATTCTAGACTTCAGTGGGAACTTCTGCTTTCTGCCTGCTAATTGTTGTTACCAATTGTTGAAGCTATGAGATTCTCCTCAAGCCCAACCCCTTATACCTAGGAGCTACTAACTGTAGTTAATTAGATGAAAAAGGCTGAACATGGTGGAAGGAACCAATTTAATAATCAGAGGTTGCTCTGATGATGTTACATAAGTGCATTAATATCGTAAACATTTTGAGGAGTTGTGAGATGTCTCTCTGGATCCTTTTTACAGAAGTTGGGAGCTATAGAGTAAGGACTTAACATAAGAGCTAGATTGGGACATATTAGATATTTCTTTAGAATTCGGGGCATGACTGAGAGGGGACTCCAGTTAATTTGTTCAACCAAGAATGCAAGTAGCGTGTACGTGTTTTGTTGGGGGGAGCTGATCTTACAATGCAGTTCTTTCCTACAAATTAGAATTTTATTCACAAAAAAAAGGGGGAAAACTTTCTAATACTCTGTACCTGATCAAAATATTTTCCAGGTTCTTCTATACCTTCAGCATTTGTGCTATGGCTGATGAGAGAACTACCACCTCCACTTGCATTTCAGTCAACAGGAGTCGAGTACAATAGCTTTTATAAGTAACAGTTCAGCAACAGTACAGCCTCAGCGATGGACAGCTGCTGCAAGTGTGCAAAATCAGGTTACTTGCCTTCTTTTGACTCTATTGCACACCTTGTTTACTGATTGGTTTCTAGTCATGTGCATCATGATCTTGGCTAGGGAATATGTAGAAAATGCATGTTCTTTCATAAGGGCTATTCACTGATCAAATGAAATGGGAAAAAGTTGAAGACAAAGAACACAAATTATTTATCTCCTCGCACATTACACTAGGGACGGGAAATCATGGTAGGTGAAGCTATGTGTGTGAGAATCATTTTAGCTGTCCATTAAATTTTTCGTAAGATCCACAAACTCGCCAGAATTGCAGCTTAGCAGTTGAAAGACAACTTATACAAACATTGTTTTTTACCTTTCACCGAACATCAAAACCCAAAAGAGAATATGGAAGGAAGTGCAGAATCAATGAAGAACTCAACTTTCTGCACTGGAGGTCTTTCCACTCATTTATTGATTTTCATTATATTACATTCGTTGGATTTACAAACTTGTACCAATGTGTTCTGAGCATTGTGGATGCAGGTCTCAAGGGCGAGCCCCATATGATCATCTGATGGAATTGTACATTGATTGGTGATTTTCAGCTAGAAACGAGGGATTGACAATACTAAAAATGAGACAACTTCTCAGTTGAGTGGTTGGTGTTGTGGTTGAGTGATCGAAGAAAGCTCAACTCAACGGGAAAATAATACCCCATGTATCTAAGCAAGGTGGGTTGCTCAGGGTATACATGCCTGCATAACTTGGATTTCTGTATATATCAAACATTGCAATGAACTTTCCAAATTTTACAGATTCTTTTTTGTTGATATAATGAGGTTTTAGATTTTTCTTGCCTAACAAAACTTTTCGTCTGATTATCTTACATATATCATTGCCTTAAAATGGATGGGAAAAAGGATAAATATATTTTGAATTATCGAAAATGGTATGTTTATACCTTCTTTATAATTTTGGTACATCAATGTCCTTATATCTAAATTTTAGCATGTATATACTCTTCATACTTACGGTGGTACATGTGTCTAAATTTTATCTATTGATTCGAAATTTATTAATTTCTACCAAAAGTTAAAAGATCCACCCGAATTAATTAAAAAACTCACCCAAAAACCCCATATCAATTCACTGTCAAAACCCTAATTTCTTCTCCATCTTCTCTAATCTTTAGTGTAATAGAGAATAAATTCAAATGAAATAGAAATCTTTCAGCAGAAAATAGCAAAACGATATTTGGTAACAAATGCTTTTACTTGGAGTGAAGAAATATCATAGACAACTAAATTTTAGATTTTCGCTAGACAATTGAGCGTCTCTTTTCCTCAAAATTCTGAGTCAACTTTACCAGTTAGAACAGAGGCGCAAACAAGCTTTGATTTTAAAGTGTTGTCATGATATTTTAATTATAATTCCATGAAGACATAAGTTGCATATGCAAATAGGCTCCTTCTTAACATATCCAAGATAGAACTTATTTTTAAGAGTTTTAAATAAGATACCATATTGATGTTACAATTCCATATGTTAGTTAACTACAGTGACACAGTTGGTTAGATTCTGTTTTTAGCTTAAAAGTTCAAGTTAGTTCAATTCAATCACTATATAACTTGTAATCAACTCATTGTACAAGAGGTTTGAAATATACAGACTTCTCTTTCTCTTTCTAATATCTCTCATTCTATTCTTCTTCTTCTTTCATTGTGAGCTGTTTTCTCGAGAAATTCTAAAATAGTGCTTCGAGTTTATTTTGAATTCTTGCAATCGAGTAACACATATATCAAATACATCAAGTTAACCTAATTCGACAAACATATGAGAAGATAATCTAATTCGACAAACATCAGAGAAGAAACTAGGTTTGGGGAGTGAATTGATTTGGTTGATTTTGAGTTCTATTTTTGGGGTGCATGTTGTGTATTTGGGTGGGTTTTTAAAATTAAGTTAGGTGGGTCTTTTTATTTTTGACAAAAAAATTAATTTAGACACATGTACCACTGTTAGTACAAAGGATATATACACGCTAAAATTTGGACGAGGACATTGATATATCAAAAATATAACGAATAATATATGCATATTATTTACGATAGTTGAAATATATCTAAATTTTTTTCCAAAAATGGGATATAATGCAATTTGTGCGCTAGAGAATAATTAGCATTAGTCAGCATTTAAAAGGACAATATTCATATTACCCTACTAAGAACTAATTTATTTCGGAAGAACTAACTAGCCCTGGATTCTAGTGGCATTTCGATCGTCGATTCTTCAACATCGGTCGATTTTACCAACTCTTTTTGAAACATTTTTTTCGTCCCTTGTTTAAATTTCTCTGAGTATTGTAGAATTTTATTTATTTCTTTTTTTTTTTTAATCTCAAGTGACTTACCTATAATTTGGTGTTATGTGATTCTATTTACGATTATAGTCCTTTGATGATGTTGTAATATTACCGTTATTTATTTTTTTTAAGTGCATGAATTGAGTAATTGGTAGAGTAAATTCTGCATTTTGGATAACTCAAAAATTAGTAGTATAAAAATAAACAATTTATTTACAATCAGCATTAGGAAGACCCATAATTTGTCTTTTATTTGCAAGCGTCGAAACGACACGAGCTGAATAGTACAATATGATGTATGTTTTGGGTATATAGCAAGAATTGATGGAAAAGAGAGAGAAAGGGTTGATGGGAAAGAGAGGAATTTGAAAAGTTGAGAATTTGAAGAGTTGGAACTTGAAAAGTCCTCTTATACTTTAATGAAAATGTATTTGTCCCTCATCGTGGTGGAAAGAAAAATAGGAAAGTTTAAATATAGAAACACTCCTATTAATTATTAAAAGGATTGGAAAGAGGGACCCCCTCGTCTCAATTTCGGCAAATGATCGAGAGATTATTGTTTGGATAAAGTTTGTTTTATTTATTTATTTAATTAATTAAATGACCAAAAAGTATTTTCAGTTAATTAGTTGATAACAGAAACACTTTCAGTTATTTAGTTGAAAATTAACTGAAACATTTCATCTTATTATGCGATCTGACTGGGATCCACGCGCGACCCGTTTTATTTCAACTTTTTCGTTTTATTTAAATTTCCCGCCATGACTTTTCTAAAAGGTTGCAACTTTCAGGAACAGTCAGCACCATTTGAAAGGTTGCAAACTTTCATTAATGGTCGTGTGAATTCTGAAAGGGTTGCAACCTTTTGGAACCTGTTGTTCTTGCCTATAAATACCACTCATTCTTCAGAATATTACCTTACTAATTTTCTGAGTTTCTTCTTCTTCTTCTGCACTAAAATTTTCTTAGTGTACTTTCCTGTTGTTGATTGGTTCGCTGACACCAGTGTTTTTGGTATCTATACTCTAGTGATTGAGATCATTTTACCCTGTGAGGTCATATTCCAAATCAAATCTCGAATACTAGAGGAGAATAATTTCCTTAAGAGGACACTGTGAGTTCAGTGGACTTGATCTTTTTCCTATTCAAAATGTTCTGGTACGTGTTTTTACAGATTTTAATTTATTCATTAATTGATTTCTGTTCATCTGTTGTATTGATTCTGAAAACTTTAGTTACTTCGTGTTTCTGCAAAGTTTTATCAGAATTAGTAATTCTGTTTTTTCAAACACAGATTGGCAAGGAAGTCTGCCTCTTTCCGTGCTTCAATAATAATGAATTTTTCTCTGTCCAGCATATCATCAGCAGGCACTGGAGTTTCTTTACTTGTAAATTTCTGCAAACCAAAAGTGGTAAGCCAGAAATATATTCGTTGCTGCCATCTTTTAAAATTCGCACCAGTGAATTTACCCGGTTGTTCTGCTTGTGGTACAACAGTTCGAATTGGTGCAGCAACAGCCACTGTAACACCGTTATTTGTCATTTTTGATAAACAAAAAGTGATACAGTCTTAGTAAGCAATAACTTATAATTGCAGACTTGAAAGAGTAAAAAATCACGAAGATTTTTCTCTCCACCAGAAACACATATTAATATATAATAAAATAATTTTCTTAATAATGTTGAAAATGACATCCAACAAGGTGTTTACTTTGAATAATGTTCTGCATATCCCTAATATTAGGAAGACTTTAGTTTCTGCTGCACTAGTCCTAGTTAATGATAAAGTTGTAAATAAGTAAGAATGAAATATTTATAGGAAAGGGCTACTTCAATGAGGATCTTTTCAAACTAAATGTAATGGTTGTTGACAGTATAAATAAAAATTCTGCTTCTGTTTACTTATTGGAGTTCAAATTAATTTTGGCATGCACGTTTGAGAAATGTAAATTACAAAGCCTTGCGAAAATTGGTTACTCTAGAAATATTGCCTGATTTTAAATGCAATAAATCAAAATGCGAAATTTGTGTGGAAAGTAGTTGTTAAACATCTTAATAAGTCTGTTTAAAGGAATTCCAAAACTTTAGACTTAATTCACACAGATATATGCGATATGAAGTCAACACCATCTCGTGGTGGGAAAAAGTATTTTATAACTTTTATTGACGACTGCTCTCGATTTTGTTATGTATATTTGCTTAATAGTTAGAATGAAGCAATTGATGCATTTGAGCAATACAAAAATGAAGTGGAGAACCAATTGAATCTAAAGATAAAAATGATTCGGAGTGATAGGGGTGGAGAATATGAAACTCCTTTTGCAGAGATATGTTTGGAATATGGTATTATTCAACAAACTATTGCACCTTATACACCTCAGTCAAATGGTTTGGCGGAACAGGAGAACAGAACATTAAAGGAAATGATGAATGCATTGATAATAAATTCTGGTTCACCACGAAACCTTTGGGAGGTAGCCATCCTTACAACTAATAAGATACTCAATAGGATACCTCATTGAAAAACACAATCAATTTCATATGATTTGTGGAAAGGAAGGAAACTCAACTTGAAATATTTCAAAGTGTGGGAATGTTTAGCCAAAGTAGAGGTTCCTTTACCAAAAAGGGTTAAAATTGAACCTAAAATAGTAGACTATGTATTTATTGGATATGTTGTGAACAGTAAGAATTGTCGGTTTTTGATTCACAAATCTGATAATCCCAAGATTCATGTTAATATGATAATTGAGTCAGATAATGCAGAGTTTTTTTGAAAACATTTATCCATATAAAATTGAATGTGAGTCGACAAGTGAAAGACTTGAACGACCACGAGAAGAATCAATGAAAAATATTCTAACTAATGAGGAACCTAGGCGTAGTACTCACCAACGAAAACCTGCTTCTTTCGGACCAAATTTTGTAGCACTATTGCTTGAAAATGAGCCTCAAATATTTAAAGCAGCTATGTCTTCGTCTGAGTCAACTTATTGAAAAGAAGCAGTCAATAGTGAGATCGAATCAATTTTAAGCAATCACACTTGGAAATTCGCTGATCTTCCTCCAGGAAATAAACCTTTAGGATCAAAGTGGATCTTTAAAAGAAAATGAAACCTGATGGGACTATTGACAAATACAATGCTAGACTGATTGTCAAAGGGTATAGACAATAGGAAGGTCTGGACTTTTTTGACACATACTCTCTAGTAACAAGGATAACATCAGTTAGGATGTTAATAGCACTAGCAGCAGTGCATGATCTTAAAATTTACCAAATGAATGTAAATACAACCTTCTTAAATGGAGAGTTGGAGGAAGAAATTTACATAGAACAACCTGAAGGGTTTATAGTTTCTGGTAAAGAAAAGAAAGTATGCATACTTGTGAATTCACTTTATGGACTCAAGCAAGCACCCAACTAATGTCATGTTAAATTTGACCAAACAACGTTGACAAATGGATACAAGATTCACGAATGTGATAAATGTGTTTACATTAAAA